GTCATCCTTATATATGAAAGAGGATGAGATTTTTGAAGTTGGCGTCACAACCTTCTTAGACCTGCATTCACCAGCAAAGTGACCCTTGCGGTGACAATTGTAGCAGATCGCTGAAGCCTTGTCTATGTTATCAGACTTTGGCTTTTCCTTGATGGTCAGCGAAGAAGATTTGCGGAAGTTACTTATTCTGGCAAATCTTCTAAAAGATTTAGTTAACGACGCTAGTGATTCATCAAAGTTTGCAAGATCATACTCTGATAAATCCTTAGAGTTAGTAGAATCTAACTCAGTGATAACAACTAGAGGAAGAGAAGAAGAAGAAGAAGAAGAAGAAGAAGAAGAAGAAGAAGAAGAAGAAGAAGAAGAAGAAGAAGAAGAAGAAGAAGAAGATGGGAGTTCAGCTGAAGCATCTTCAAATATTAGAGCTAATGGATAGCTCTTCATTTCTCTGGAATCCTTGATTAGATTCCTTTTCAGCTATCATGACTGCTCATGATTGAGCAGTATCCCATAAAGAGTGTTGTGAGAGAGAGAGAGAGATGACATGTCATTGGACATCTTGAGACACATGACATAAGTATCCCAAGACTCAAGCAAACATTCCAGAAACTTCGTTAAAGTTTCAGAATTAGAATATTCCATGCCTACAGTTCTTAGATCAAGAAGAAGACAATTAAAACGTTGATGTACTTCAGACAATGTCTCAGTCTTTCCACATAGAAATCTTTCGTATTGTCTTACTAAATTAATTTTCCTCGATTCTTGAACCCGAGAGGTTCCTTTATATTGAACACATAAAGTGTCCCACATGGATTTCGAGGTTTTGAGTTTCATAACAGAATGATAAATCTCATCAGAAAGAGACATAGCTATTATAGACCTAGCTCGAATGTCTATAGCTATCTTCTTCTTGTCTTCATCGCTCCATTGATGAGAAAGCTTTGGAATCTGTCGTTCAGGAATCGCGGCAGTCGTAGCTATTTCAGGAACAGCCGGAGAAATAGCATATGGAACATATGGTCCATTTTCTATGTAGTGTGGAATTTCAAGATCCACACCTTCCAGAAAGAGAGACATCAGATTCTTCCAAAGACTAAAGTTGTCTCGGATAAAACGGCGTGGTTTGGCAAGAAAGACATTGTCATAAAAGTGTGTGTTTGTGTTTTGTAAAACCATTTGAAAGCAGTAAGATTTTTTAAAGAAAGAGATAATATAATGCAAAAAAACAACTAAACAACAAGAAAAATAAATACACTACTCTGATACCACTTGTTGGTCCCGTTAGGGTCTACAAGATGTGTATAACAGTTTGTAAAAAGGGGAGATGAATACAAACACAATAAACTTTTTAAATTTAAAATATATATTGATAAAGAAGGATCAATACAAATTTTACAAGATTGTTTGCGGAAAAGATAAGGTAAAGATAACCTATCAAAACAATCTAAGTTGCACACAAGTTCTTAGCAAAGAGAAATGATTTGTTGTTTAAGACTTAGAAGAAATTAAGTTTATTTTGGGTAAGAACTATTTAGAATACTTAAAAGGGATTCTAACTTGCTTTTGAAGATAAGTGTATTGTGTTCTTAGATGTGTGCTCTTTCACATATGAACGTAAGAATTAGGGTTCAAGAGTAAGAGATATCTCTGCATGGAGATAGAACACGTCTATTTATACCCATTGCATTAAATGCACATTTAATGCAATGCAGTAGGGTTTGAACACGCGTCAAGCCTTTAGAGAAAGACTTGTCATTTGCTACAGTGAATAGTACAAAAACCTATTCATGAGCAGACATCCTTTCATGGAGTTGGTGGGTAGTAGAGTCAACTAATCGGCTCCATACCGTACTATGCTCTAGAAAAGGTATGGGTTTGTCATTTGTATGTGGAATGACAAGACAAAAACAATCGTGCTCAACAAGCTTCTTTTGATTGTTGAATGTTGGAAAAACCCTGAAGGTCTCTTCAGCATTCGCTAAGGCTTGAGCAGTCTTCACACATATTTAGACCAGGTTGTAATCACTTAATACCGCTTCAGATCACGAACTCGCCAGTCTCTAATCTTCAGTTTCAATCTTCGACTTTCGTTGAAGGTTATTTGGTGCAAGTTTTGTCTTCTTGAAGTATCGTTGTCGTTGATGCATTTACATTACTTGTTCTCAGCGATCACTAAACAGACTCAGCGATGATCGTTGGAACTGAAAGATAGAAATATAAATACTTCGTATAAGGTAAAATGGATTATCATAAAATCACTGAGAGAGGATCAACAAATATTTTCTCTTTGCTATTTGTAATTGTGTAAATCTTAGATTGTTTAGATATGTTCTTTACCATATCTCTTACGTAAACAATTTGTAAAATTTGTATTGATCTTCTTTATCAATATATAATTTTTAAAAGTGAAAGTTTATGTGTTTGTTTCATCCCCCACCTTCTACAAACTGATTAATTATAACTTTTGTAGATCCGGCTGGGGTCAACTCTAAAACACTTCATGTATAAGTCATCACTTCTTAGGACCAACAAGGTCATACACCTACGCATAAGAAAGAATATTGTAATATGAAGCACTCACAAGCTAGAAATATCATAGAAATGTGTTTTGGTATATTGAAGAAATGTTCGACCATATTATGAAGTCCTTCTTTCTATTCAATAAAACTTCAAGGACGAATGATCATAGTATGTGCTTTGCTACATTTTATTAGGATGTACACAACTCTTGATCTAGAGGAAAACACGACACTTACACTAGAAGATATGCCTATCGGGAAAGAGATGTTGGAATCCAATGATGATGTTAACTCCATTGATGTTGTTGAATCAAGTAATAAGTAGACTTAATGGAGATATGACATAGCTTAAGAGATGTTTGAATCATGGATGCCAAGTATAGTCTAATGCAATGTACTTTGTTACTATTATTGCATTTTCAATGTTGTTATCACCATGTAGTTTTGTTTTTTTAAAACATTATCATAAGGATTGTTTTATTATAATTGTTGCATTTTGAAACATTGTAATCAAAATAGGTGGACTTTATTTATATACATGTGCTATTGTTTGGTATTTTAATTTAAGAATAAAAAAATGGTGGATAGATGTAATTGAAGTATTGCAGAAGGGGACGCGTTGATTAGCATCCCACAATAGATCGTAATTGTTGGTGGTTGGAGTGATGATGTAAGTTTTCAGACTGACAGATAAGTAAATTGTAGTAAAAATGCATGAAAAAAACTTGTGCCTCAATATAACATCAAAACATGTTCAAAACAAAATGAAGCAGCTCAAAGATAAATATTCAACCGCTTATGACATGTCAAATACAAGTCAATTGGAATGATACGCATTAATGCGTAACAGTGGATGCTCAAGTGTTAGAGGAATACTTAAAGGTAATATTTATATTTTCTATGTAATTATTTGGTACTTACTTGGATAGTGTATATATATATATATATATATGTATGTATGTATATGTATTTATGCATTTTTTTTTGTTTTGATAGAAACATCCAAACAAAAATATATTGTCGACAAACTGTTTCCCCAATACGAGCAATTGAAGATGATAATTAGAAAAGATCGAGCTACAAGAACGTTGGCGGAATCTGCCTCGGATGCAATGACTCACATCAATCTAAAAAACGAAGTCGATGCTACATGCCTTTGTATACTCCTAATGGTGCTTCCGCATCCTTCATTCCACCAAAAGGTGAAGCATCAACAAAAAAAGAGAAAGAGAAAAGTTAGTGGAGCTGAAGATGTAATTAAGAGGATTGAAAATCAGTTGCACTCGGTATTTGAGGAAATACGTAAGTTGATATCGGTTGTTGGTACTCTAGGTTTACAAAATATGCCCGATGAGTAAGCAATATTATGGGTTTTGACAGTGACCAATATGTTGCGATGTTAGGCATGTGATGTATGTTGGTAAATATTTGAACTTTTCTATTTATAGTTTTTGGTATACAATGATAAAGGTTTGATTTTTGTGTAAGATGTGTTTTGGTAAACATTTGTTTAAGTCTTTTGATTTATCAATATGAGTTTTTAATCAATATTCATGTTGGATGTTTTTTTGTATTTTTTAAATATTATTTGCAAATTTTCATTTAGATTGATTATTTGGTAAAAGAACTAAACAATTCGCTAGGGATAAATTAGTTTTTGAACCAATTTTATCTTCTCAAGTCGAGTCCTGTTATATTTTACCCAACGCTAAACTACTATATTATCCTCTTTCGTCTACGTACCAAGGGGGTGTTTGGGATTGCTTATTTGAATCAACATATTTTTCTACAAAAGTCTTTATTAACTTATTATAAGTTAGTATGGTTTAACTTTTTAAAAAACTATTTATTATCGGTTTTGCACCATTATAAACTGTTTATCCAAACAATCATAAATACTTATTATTAATGTCATATCTGAATAAGTCAATAAGTTTTTATAAGTAATCCCAAATACTCCCAAAGACATTTCAATTTGTTTCGTTTTTGGTTTATATAAAATTTAGAAACAAAATTCGTTATTTGATATTATTTAACCCGAGATTTAGGGGGTGTTTGGGATTGCTTATTTAAAACAACTTATGCTTTTTTGTAAAAGTGCTTATTAACTTATGTGGTATCAAACTGGAGTTTTGTAAAAAGTGTTTGGATTAGCTTATAACGGTACCAAAAAGCAATAAGTTGATAAGTTGGTTTTTAGTGTTTGGCAAATTTGGCTTATAGATGTAAAATTACCAAAAAGCAATAAGTTGATTTTGATAAGTCAGGAGGGATTGACTTATCAAAAATGACTTATTACCGGTTTGGTACCGGAATAAGCACTTTTTTTTTTTTTTACCCAAACACTCCAAAATGACTTATCTCCGGTACCGAACTGAAATAAGTTAATAAGTCATTTTGAAAAGCTTACCCAAACACCCCCTTAATGATAAAAGAAGTTTCCCATTCAAACCGTTCATTCCAATACACCCCAAATCCTTGTTGAGCAAAATTTTGGTTTGGGTTTCGCCTCTTCCTTCCATCCTTCTTCCCCGTACTCTGAAATCTAAATCTGTTGTTCGAAAATTCAACATATATTCTTTGATTTTGTTAACAAATGGGGCCTCCTATGAAATCCAATAGGCAGGGTTTCGGTACTGCTAATGTTACTGGGAAGCAAAACCTATTCGATTCATCGTCGGATGCGATGTTTAACAATTTATGGGTCGGGAATTTGTCCGCTGACGTTACAGATTCAGATTTGAGGATTCTCTTTGAGAAACATGGTGCCGTTGATAGCGTAACTTGTTATCCGTCAAGAAGCTATGCCTTTGTCAACATGAACCGTACCGAGGATGCCAAGAAGGCTAAAGAGTCCCTTCAGGGCGTTGTTTTACGTGGGAGCCCGCTAAAGATTGATTTTGCCAAACCGGTTTGTATCGCCTCATTAGGTTTTCGTGGTTGTTCTTTGTTATTAGTTATTTTTGAGGAATGTTATTATTGTTATATGGATCCGAGTTTTATATATGTTCTGTTGATATCTAGTTCTTAAACAACAATTATCGTTCTGCAAATCCTTAATAACGCTCAAAATTGGGCAGTAAAATCGGAATTTCATCCCAATGATCGTCTAGGGTTTCAGAATTTACTTTTCTTTTTCAAAAATAAAACTGTTATATGAGGTTTGAAATGCAAAATAGGAATGAGAAAACATTCGAACACTAGTCAAACAACATGATTCAACACAGGTTCAATGCTCCAAGAAGTGGATTTGTAGCCAAGTAAATCAGGACAATATTGCCTTTGTTTGCTATTTGACATCCTAAGAAAGCATTTGTTTGTGTAAATGTATAATTCACAATCTGGTATGATTACTTTTACCCAGGCTTCTCAGATTTACTTCATATTCTGCACTATATTGAAAGAAATGAGGATCTCTCGATAACATTTTGTCACTAATCCTGGTAAACAAATGCAAGCAATTCCCATTGATGTAGATATTTAGCAGCCTGTTGGTTTTGAGATACATTTGATGTGAGTGGATATGAAGGAAGAACATGATTTTGTTTACCTTACCAAAATTTCCCACCTAAGTAATTAATCTTGATGAGTTTCAAGTCTTCATAAGTGCAGAGGAGTAAGGCACCATCTTTAAAAAGGTTCTGCTAAGCAAAATAATATGTTATTTAACATCTAAGAAAGCTTTTTCCATTAATGGAGGCATAGTTTCAATTCAAAGTAGATTTCTGAGCTGAATTAAGGCCCAGAAAAACATAAAGTTTAACTTACAAAACGCAAATCATCTAAGCGGATATAAAGCTTCAGCGAAACAGCTGTTTCTAGAAATTCCTGGCTAAAGCGAAAAGGGTATCAAGCTGATGAGCTACGCTACAGAGTAGACGCTGATCATCTAATTTGTTCTCAAAATCTACGGACATCATGGACATATACAAGTGAATTTCTGTATTTGAGTTTTATTGAAAAATCAGCCAAAGAGTTCTTCTATCAAAGGTGTTCAGTCATGTAGATGTCTTGCTGTGGTACTTTTTGAATGAGCTCTCCAACAGACAAGTCTTAAAATAAAATATACCATCATTTTCAAGCGCTTCCTCATATCACCTGGAGAACTCCAATTTTGTATATCTCATATCAAATTGTTGATTTGATCGAAGGCATTGTTCTCCAAAGCTTGTCGTTGCATAATCAGATGCCTAGGCTTTTGAGCACTCCCAGTCTTTGATTGACAACTAATTTCCAAATTAACCATTTCAAAAATTAATTAAGCAGGGTTAATTGATCTGGGTGGGAATTGATTGAATTTAACATTGTAACTAGATGGAGAAATTGTGTGAACTGATATTTGCTAGCCAGTTAAGAAATTCAATTCAGCCCAGTTCAAAAAATGTGTCACCGAAATTAAAATGAGCTCCTACCTTTTATAACCAAGTTACTTTTAACCTAATATAAAACAATCAAACATTGTTATACATCTGAACACAATTAGGCGACTTCGATTATTGTTCTAATTCAATAGAAAAGAAAAAAACTGGGAATTACAAATCAAAATTTACAACCATCTTCTGAATCGAATAGGACGTGGAATTGTGGAAGAAAATGTGAATGGCTAGTTGAGTTTTCCTCTCAATTGATTCGAGTTCATCAATTCAATTGTCTCAACCTGTAATTGTGTCCGTGGAACAATAAATTTAGTCATTTTGAAAAGTAATATAATATCAAACTTGAACCCATTTGTCCACATAATCTAAATGATTATCCTTGTACATATTAAACAAGAACCGCTTAATGCATGCATGTAAACCTCACTTAGCTAGAAGGTCAGTCGACAGCCAAACTTCACCTGATGTTTTCTAGAATAATGATAAATGGATTTTGTTTATGACATTATGTGAGAACGAATTGCTTTCTTAATACTAGATCACCACCACTCATCTTTCAAGAGAGCACGTGGTTTGCTTTATATCATAGCTTATAGTGTGTTATGAAATTTTCAAGTTAACAATTAGAACCGACGAATTGTTTCATTGTTTTCAAATAATATTTTATTATTTTGCTCTATGAATGTGGTAAAGTGATATAGTCAGCATCCCATTTGTCATAATAACATTTCACCCCACTTCTGGTTAGTGGTGCTACTTCCAGTGAGTTGCTACTTTATTTGTAAGATTACTGCTTGTAGTTAACACTGATTTTTAAATTCCTTTTGGATTTTACGAAAAGAATTGTCTCTGGTCTTGTATACTCTTTTACGAGAGCCACAACATTTTATAAGATGGTTGCCAATTGATAACCGTAAAATTTGGAAAAAAGTTTACATCTATAAAACAGTGAAGATCTCATATAATAAACTTCTGTCTAGCTTATTGTTGGACTTTGTCAATCTTATTGTGGAGTGACTGAAGGTAAACTTATGCCCACCTTATTGTTGGACTTTTTCAATCTTAGTGGGAATGACTATAAAGGGAGAAAATGGATCCTGTTTGACTACAAACAAATTCCTAAATGCCAGATGAACCAAATGTTCAAATGAAACTTGATTTAAGACATGATGATTTTTCAATTTCTTTTATTCTGTAAAGTTTCTTCTAATCTTGTTCTCATCCTCTCGACCAATAATTTCGGGTTAATCATGTAATTGTTTAGGTTTATGCGTAGTTCATGTGTTTGATTTATAGATTAGTACATAAACACTTGCATGCATTTTATGCCAAATTAGTTGGGGTATGCTGAAAAACAAATAAAGTTTATAGAACAATGCCTTTGGTATGTTCTGCTCATGAATGTCTGTTGGCTACTTCCCTTAAAAATCATGGCTGACCTCTACCTTACCTGAGGGATTGTGATACAAATGTCTTCTTCTAGTTGGTGCATCCAAAGGTCTCCTTTGGTCGTGGCCATGCCATCTCAAGTGGTGTTGTTTGAGTTTCTCTTTAACCGATGCCACACACAAGTATCAAAATTTCTAATCCTATTCATCAATGCACAGCCACATTCCCTTCATTATTCGTGTGTTTTGCTACAATCGTTATCTTGTTCTTTGGTAGCCCAACATTTTGCGATGTAAGTTCATATATAGATAGGTTGGTGGTTAAATACAAACCCTGCCTACATTTCATGATAATTGGGTTACTTAAGAGACATATAGGTATTTCCAATTTCTACTTCTGTCACCAGAATTGATGGCACAAGTGTTGTTTAACTTGTCGTGTTTATGTACTTTGCGTGCTGGATTTCAAATCAAAGCCACACATTTTTATTGTGCCTGTCAAACTAATTGGGGCCTCTTAGAGGGTTTACTGGACTTCCCTTATGATAAAAACAATGTATAGCTTCTGGAGAGAAATTAGTTGGTTTGCCTTTCTTTGATAATGTTATGTTTGCTGCACCTTCAGCATCAATTACCTGATGTGTAATTCTATTGGTATATGCAGTTACCATCTTACTTGTGAAATGTCCCACCTTAAAGAATGCCTTGGTCTCGAACCGACTATCTATAATCTTTGTGTTCGATGAAATTGATTCTATCAGATGACCTTGTCATTGGTTTTTGTTGCTTACTTCATATCTTTGCTTTCGAATACTCTGTAATTATTTTAAAAAATGAGGTCTTATAAACATGGGCCAGTGTGCTTCCACTCTAATAAGACATGTACTTTGTCTCAATTGTAGCCATAATTTTTTGTTGGAATTTCTTTGAAGTGGATTCACAACTCAGGGGGTTTTGTTGATTAAAGTTCAGTGCACCTTTAACGTTCAAAGTTGTTGGCTGTTTGACTATCTGTTATCTTCTATAGTTTGATCATCATTTTACTAGTTGACCATCTAACTTGCTTGTTTTTATTGGTTTATGAATGCTCGACTTATTTGGTTGGTCCTTCCGAGACTTGCTTTCTTTTATCACCTGGTTAAAAGCTTGAGTCTTTTGTTTCTCTAGTTATCTAGAATTCTTTTCCCTTGAGTTCATAAACTGGTGTTCACATAATAATAATAATAATAATAATAATAATAATAATAATTATTATTATTATTATTATTATTATTATTATTATTTTTTCTAACAAGTGTAATGCAAGTGGAGGAACTACAGTTTGGAACGTTTCCTGTGGTTTGTTATTTTTCACATGGAGATTTGATACATCTTAGTTTTGTGGCTTATTGTTATACATGGTTCATGTTTAGTTGTCTTCTTATAAACTACTCCCTCTGTCCCAAAAATAAGTGTCCACTTTTAAAAGTAAATATTTACTTTACCATTCTACCCTTGATTATAAGATGAAAAAAAATTCTCTATTATTGAGGGTAAAAATGTTCTTTTGGTTAACTAAAAAGTGTAATAATTACACAATTCTAAAACTGTGTGCCATTCTCATTCTGGACATTTATTTTGGGATGGAGGGAGTATTATGAACATGGTTCGTGATTTCATGTTATACATGGTTCATTTTTGGTTGTCTTCATACAAGCTACTATGGACATCACAGAGCGGTGAGGATGTGCTGACAGTCAGGAAGGTATTGGTTGTCATAGGGTTGAGTTGATGGAGGACATATTACTTGCATTGATGCTCAAATTCAACTAAATGAGGGGTAGATCAACTTGATTCTGTAGTTTCTGTTCTCAAGAGCAATCTGCTTAGTAGTGTTGAACATTGAAATGATCTTGTTACATGTTTATCTTCTACAACTTTATCTCAATTTATCTATCAGATATACAGTATCCCTTATATGACCTCCTGTCTAAATAGTCAATAGTTCTGATTCTAGTTGGAGGAGTTCCTGCTGAAAATGATTGACTTGAAAATATTTGTTATTTCATATATAGCCTATCTTTCCGAACAATCTTTCGTCCATTGTTTACATTCTTGAAGATATCATAAAGTATCTTCTTTCCTAGCACTCGAGATTTCTCGAATGA